TATATGGCGAACAGCAAAATCGCTCGCATAAGAGCTGTAGAGTCAGTGGTGTTACTGGGATACACAGGTACTAGATTTTCGCTGACATGGACCACTAGTTCACATTAGGTAAATACGTGCATGTGTGTGCATCTGCATCCCGTGTCACCTCAAGCAAGAGCAGCGGCGCCTCCTTCGACTGATAGCCAAAAAAAGTTAATTTGACTAGAAGAGGTTCAAAGCAAGAGCATTTATGAATCCGAAGCGGCAGCGAAAAGCCCTCATAGTTTAATTTGTTTCAGAGCGAAGAAATTTAAAACAAAAGCGACACAATTACTTCTGCTGCCGTTCGCAAATTCAATGTCGTCGTCGACATCCTTATGCATTTCCTTGATCTCGTTGCGCGCCAATTTCTCGGCGACAATAATCTCGGTACAAAAGTTGGTCAGTTTTATCGTCCAGCTCGAGTCCACTAAGCAGTTTTGCAAGCACAACAGACCGTGATACTGCACCGCTGACGTATGCAAGTAAAGTAGACCCTGTGATTAACTCATGCAGCTCGTCAAAATTAAAAATTATCACCCGATCTTTCATGAGCTCCAAGTAATGCACTAGTTAACGGCTGGTCGAAGTTCAAAGATCTGACCAGTCTAAGTTAAAGCAATTTTTTTGCCGGTGAACAGTTTAAGCTTTCGTCGCCTTGTCTTCCCGTCTTTTAGGTTAGATTCGAGCTCAAATCTTGCAAGCAGTTGTATTCAATAAATTATTCCTTTTACCAATCTAACAGAGTTTCCAGAACTGCTCTTGCTGTACTGCTCCAAGTCCGCCCAGAAAAAAATACATGAAGCGGGCACAGGAAGGGAAAGAAGGGCAAAAACGAAAGAAACTTAAAGAATATTTTAGTGAACAAGAAAACTGCCAGTAGGTTACCAAGGAAATCAAGGATTGTAAATAAATATGCTAAAATTTCTTAGGAAAAAAGAAACTGTGCCAGGCTACAGGCTTCTTCTTTATGCTTCCAAATCTCTTTTTCTCTCTTATCCCACCATGCCCGCTGGTCCTCATTCGAAATGTTATTTCGAAAAAAGTCAGAACCGAGCATGAACGAGAAGCAGAAATACTTTCAGGAGGCTGACAGCAATGAAACTTCATTGTTTCGCACAAATTAAATTCGAGCTGCTGTTTTTACCTTTACGACATCCTTAGCAAAAGACACTTGAAAATTGCGACTCAGCTTCATTTCCTCATTGAACAAAATATCCTGAAAATTGACTCTGGCGGATTTCTGAGCTCCTTGTTAATAGAGACTAATCAGAAGCAAGCGCAAAAGGGACTTAGTCTGGGAATAATTCGGCGTTAACTCTTGATCGGCTTCGCAATTCTCAGGGCAATTAACACTTACATGCGTTTACAGTGAAATGGAACCCTATAGCGACGTACTAGGCTTACCACGATTTCACCCTGTAGAGAGACTGCCTGTACTTGGAGGCGAGACTAGGGTTTTACAGTTAGAAAATTTGATGCCCCTATAAACAGGGCTCATGTCTAGGCAGAAGCTCATCGTAAGCACATGAACAACAAAAACCATCAAAAAAATATTGTTTCTTGTTCAGTCTAGTCACCGAATTAATTAAAGTTCAACGGTGCCCGGAACTAAACATTCACTTGCGCTTGCTTTAAAGATAAAATTGAAATATTCAGACTGCACATATACATAAAATTCAGCTTCCGAGCTCAGCTGAGTAGCGAAATCGTTTTTTGCTGCAAGTGTCTGGCATGTCCGAAGGCGCGACTTTGGTTTATGCCAAAGCTCTTATTTTAAGCCTGCCTACCCGGCTATGAAGAACAAATGCTCTCGATTAAAGTTGGCGCTCTAATCAGCTAGGTTTCCGAGTTGGCATTTTGTCAGCGAATTCGCAAACTTGACTACTTGTCCACACACTTGACGTGAGGATGCGTTAAAGTTTATTTTAAATCTTTAGCTCACACAAGCGCATAAAACACCCCTGAGGAATTTCAGCTTCTCTTACCTTGTCCGGTCCCCAAAATTACTTTTCCGCCAGTAATTTCACGTATTTCCTTTTAGGCTTTCATATGTGAGATCCAAACGCATGTGAATGTTAGTATTAAAGCGGTGGTTTACACTGCAAATATTTTAGCTTACTAACTTTTCTGGTTGTTGAGTTAATAAATAGCGACGAGCACCAGGGCAGTTGGTGCGATCATGTGTTTTGTGCGACCCCGCCTACCGAATTATTGCCTGCTAATGATTTTCACTGCTCTGCTTCAGTCTATGCAAAAATAGTTGAAATGTTGTCTGGCTCCTAAGTTGTGGGATTCCTCCCTAAAAATTTTACGCGCCAGTATGTGAAAGCTGAGTCTGAAACCTCGAAAGGTGAAAATCTTTCCAAAATTTCAATCTCCTAATTTTCTGGTTCTCCAGTGATTTTTGCGACAAAACTTTTTAGTAGCCGTGCGTGAGAACTCGACATAATTAGAAACTGAATCCGAGTTTGTGAAGCCTCTGCTTAGGCAGGAAACGTTCTCCAGAAATTTCCAGCCTCTTAACTCGTGCGACTCCCGAAATGATGACTTTTCCCGCCAAAACTTTCCTGAGGACCTTGAACGTTTGCGGAGTCATATGTGGGCAGGGGATATCGCGCTAAAATTTCAGCTTTCTAGCTTTCGCAATTCACGAGATAATTTTCCTGCCAAAACTTTCACGGGATCGTACGCGGTACCCAGGGATTTATGAATTTGCCGAAGTCGTAAGTTGATAGGAAACATAGCTCTAAAATTTCACGTTCCCAACTTCCGTGGTCCCGAGATAACAATTCTCCTCGCCGAAACCGTGAAAACCTTGAATTTAAACTTACGAGGTAGTGCATGGGCAGGGAGCAGTCCCTTAAAATTTCAGCTTCGTAGACTCCGTAATCCCCAAGACAATCATTTTCCTCGCCGAAACTTTTACGGGGCTGCACGTGTTACCTACGGATACGTGAAGGCTGAATTTGAATTTGTGGGTCACACGCGGGCGAGGGACGTTCCTCTAAATTTTCGGCTTCCTAGTTTTTGTGGTTCCCGAGTTGAAAGTTAAGGACATGATACATCGGATACACGCAACACAACATACACAGAAACACATTGTTGATATGTCTTTTTGCTTTTGCATAAATATGCAAGACATATAAAAATACATGAAGGAATAGATCCCTGAGCTTACCTCGAGACTTCCGCGGGCAATCAGTACCCACAGGATTAATAGCTCATTGTGCTGATTGAAACAGATACCATAGAATTTATTCAAATTTTCGTTCTCCAGCATTTTTAGCTAAAAATGTTAAGTTTGCATAAAAGTTCATCACTGGTTTGCTATGCGCAAAATTGCTAATTCAGTTCTAATGTTATCATAACTGCGTTCATTTATGAGTTTAATTTTGTAAAGTTAGTTATCAGTAGCATGTGGCATAAATAACTTTCGAGAATTTAAATTTAGATATTTTGTGATTACGAAAAAAGTTGCAAAAAGTAAAAAGTAAAAGTAAAAGAATAAAAAAAAGCTTATCGGGACGCATGATGTGAAATTTCAGCATTACTGGGATAATTTCATTAGTGAATTATTTTCTTCCTCCGTAAATGAAAGTGATAACAGCTGTTTACAATATTCAGTCCTATGCAAAATCCTATGCAATATTCAATCCTTCCTAAAAAGCAGGCCAAAAAAGTTTTTGTATTTTGCTGTTCACTAAAAAAAATCCAAACAGAAGATCAGTCTCCAGTAAGCTGACCAGCAATCGGTGAAACACTGATCAAAACAATTAGAAAAGTTGTGAAACACGATACAAATTAAGGTTAAGTAACAGGCTTAAAACTGGAAGTCCTGAAAATTTCATTCTTGCCTCATTCAAAATATGCAGTTCATTTTTTGGGAAGGTAATGTTGCGCGTTTGGCTGTATCGCCAGGCTGCTAGCTTCACACCACTGCATACTGCTTGTGTTATGTTCAATTTATTTGATGACTGTTCCATGCTGAGTGAGCTCATAAAGAGCTGCGAACGCTGAAAGAATTCGTGAAAACACACATTTCACAACCGTTTTCTTCTAATATACAAAATTATCTAGTTAATCTAAATAAACCCATACGGGAGTAAATTTTGAAAGTCAGTACAAAATAAAAAAAAATGCTCATATCAAACTGCTCATATCAACTGCTCATATCAAATTGAAAAATGATCATTGAGGCTAATAAAAAAAACGACTGAGGAAGCAGGATTTGCATGTACCCCGAAGGCGGCGTCTAGTAAGCGCACCGATTCGCGAGGTATACGCCATGTCATATCATACAGTTGCTTCTCTTTTCTAAAATTTAAGCATTTTAAACTCAATTATTCCTAAAAATATAAAATTTTTCATAATAAGACAAGAATTCATTTTTTCAATGCGTTTTTGCATATGTGCAAATGCAAAAACATATAGTGACGGCCCTGGTGTGCCTATGTGTTTATATGTGTGCGTGTGTGTGCGCACCTGTCAGGGGTATTTCAACTTGGCAACCAAGCAAGCTGAAGCGTTAAAATGTTGCTGGTCGGTTCCTCAGCCAAGTGCTAACTCAGAACCATGATACCAGCCGTCATGCACGCCTGGGCTTGCGTGCGAGCATGTGAAAGCTTTGGTGGAAAAATCGCTAACTTGGGAATCAAAAAAGCTAGGAGGCTGGAATTTTGAGAGGGTGTTCTCATCACATGCAATTTAAAGATTTCAAATTTAGCACCCAGGTGTGCATGACCCTCAGTACGGCCCTGCGAAAGTTTTTAAAGGGAAAATCGCTAAATCGGGAACCCAAAAAGCTGAAAAACTGAAATTTTAAGGTGATATTCCCCATCAGTGTAGAACCTAAGACTTTAAATTCACCCTCCAGGAGTGCATAGTTCCTACTTAAGGTACCGTGAAATTTTTTGGCAGGAAAATCGCTAATTTGGGAACCGGAAAAGCTGGGGGATGAAATTTTGAGGGAATGTTCCCAGCCCACATGCAACTTAAAGACTTTATATTTAGAACCCAGTTATGGACTACTCTCAAGTACGACCTCGTGAATGTATTTAGCGGGAAACTCAGGAATCAGAAAAGCTAGAAAGTTGAAATTTTGAGGGATGTTACTCGTCCATGTAAAACTTAAAAATTTCAAATTCAGCCCCATTATGGTCCTCACGTGCAGGACTGTCAATATTTTTTGGCGGAAAGATTGCTAACCTGGAAACCAGAAAGGCTGAAAAGTTAAAACTTTAACGGAATGTTCCCTGGCCAAGTACCACGTAGTTGCACAATTAAATTGCTGAAACTCGAGGAGCTGTATGTCACAAATTCTAGCTATTGGATTTTAAACGATCTTACTTCAGCACCTAATACTGCAAAAAAGCATGATCGCTCGGACCTGCCTAGTGCATGTCGCCAATGATTGTTACTCCTCTGGCATGAACTTATAAACTGAAATCCCGCAGTCACAGTAACTTACTGCAGTTAGAAGGACTGGATTTAGTAAAACGCTTTGCTGGCCGCTATTTTGCACGTCAGTGAGTGATACTTTTTGAAAGAAAAAAATCCATCTGCATGGTTCCTAACTGAAGGTACACGCACTTAGTATCGATTGTGAGTGCAGCACGAACACCATTAGGAAATGTCTTGGCGTAGTTGTGCGCTACAAAAAAATGGCTGTACCAGAGCAACGTTAAGCGTCCGATAAAAATGCCGATTTTTCTTGTTGGTTGTTAGCACTAGTTCAATATTTTTGAACGACTTTTTTAGACAATAAGTTATGGCTCGCGGACTTTCAACCGCTTGTTAAACTTAAAATTTACTCGGATACACTATCATGCCCACAAACATCGACATACCTGTATGCCCTTAGGAAGAAAGACATGCTTTTTGGTTAATTCAAAAGCAGAAAGTTTAAATTTGGCTTAAATACTGTAGGCGAAAGTATATCGCAAACCCTCTGCGATAGAGATAGTAGCCAAGTGGAATACTGACGAGGGCAATGACTAGCCCGGCGCCCAATACTATGTGTTTTGTGTGGTCACATAGACTGCCGTCGTATCCACAGTGTGGCATGTCCGGAGGTGGTTCGCCACTCGCCGTAGGCCAATAATTGATCAAAATTTCGTGCGGAATCTTAAAAAGTGACACTTTCTTAATAGCACTATCATACTCACTGAAAAATAATAAATGAACACATCTACTCCAAAATGTTTAAAACGGAAGACAGCAGAACTCAAGCATTTAGAAAGCTGGCCCTGAAATTGACTACCGTCAAAGGATTCTTGTTTATACGGACGGCTCGAGATTTTTAATTCAGCTTTGCACGCTTCTACTTTATTTATTATAGCCAAGATAAAACATAAGGGGGCGCATGAGTACGAAAAGAAAATGCGTAAAACCACTGTCTTTCCGCTTTAAATAATTTTGCGTTCTTCACAGCCATAACATAAAGTAGCGAGGCATCCGCTCATCCTTCATTGCTGTACAGACCACATGTAGGCAACCTGTGGCCCGCGCACCGGATCCGGCCTGTAACTGGTATTAATCCGGCCCACGGAGGGGATCGCAATAAGGTGCCTAACTAGACGAACGCTGTGTCTGTACTCTGCCTCGCCTCTGCACTCTCAAAACAAAAATACGCATGAGGTTAACAGACAACAGTCTGGAAAATACTTTGAGACTCTGAGTCAGTGATATAAATTCATATTTCAACAATCTTGTGTCAAACGTTCGAGCCTAGAGTTTACACTAACCTGCTGTTGTTTATTTTTATGGGTTTTTGCTGTGCAACGCTATAGCGCTGCTAAAGTGAGCAAAATGCATATTGTCGAGAGATCGTCCCTGTGTGTGTGTATTTGTTCGGAAGTGAGGAAACTTTGTTACCCATTCTCAACTCAGCAACTAGAAAAGCTGGGAGGCTAAAATTCTGGGGTCATATTCCCACTCCATGTATCACCCTCCCGCTTTAAAATTTTCGCTCATAAGCGAAAAAAGTACGCAAATTTCTTTGGCTAAAAACAGTTTCGCGAACCGGACAAAATAGGAAGCTGGAACTTTACAGGGATATTCTCTGTGCACGTAGAAGCTATAAAGACTTCAAATTCAGCTACCGCACACGCTTGTACCGAGCGAACGATTAATTCAGAGTTCGCAGTTAGCACTGTGTTAACTCGAAAACTAACCGAAAAGCAGTAGCTGGAATTTCGTCAGAATATTTACTGTTCATGTGGAAAATCGCATACCCAAAGTGAGCTTCGATTTGCACTTGCGCCGCGACTTAGAGCACTTCAAAAATATTTGTAGTGAAGTGGCTATTTCGCGTGTCAGACAAGTGTGTGTGTGTTGCCACTGTGTGTGTTTGTGTGTGTTCGTCTGTCCGGGTATCTCAACTAGCCAACTACTCAGCTTTTGGAGCTGAAATTTTATCAGTTTGTTCCCCGGCCAAGTGTCACCCCAGGGCTGCGGTACCAACCCTCAGTCACGTCTGGGCCTCGCGTATGACTACGTGAAAGTTTTGGCGGGAAAACTGCCAACTCAGGAACGAGAAAAGCTAGGAAGGTGAAACTTTAGGGGAATGTTCCCTACTCGTGTATGACCAAAATCAGCTGTTTAGAGCCGCTCGGGACCCACCCACAGGCACTTAAAAGTTCTGATAGCGAAAATGCTAGTTCGGGAGCGAGAAAAGCTGGAACGTTGGAATTTTAAGGGGATGTTCTCTACTCATGTGCAGCTAAAAAATTTCAAATTTAGCTCTTCTAGTGGGGCATTTTTCACGCACCAGCAACTTCTCTTTAGTCAGATCACTGAAGCGGACATCTAGAACTGACTCATCACATAGCTGCACAATTAACTTCCCGAACTTCGAGAGCCAGCGTGTCATAAGGCTAGCTACTGTGATTCCTTGCGATCTTGCTACAGTGTGAAACGTGCAAAAACACATGATCGCACCCTTCCGCCTGGTGTCTCCCAGTCTGGGTTTCATTGGACGAACATTCGAGAAAACGGCTGAGCTTCATGTGCTTGAAGTTCAGGAAGTTAACTGCGTAGCTACATGACACGCCAGTTGTAGATGCCGGCTTCAGTGACCCGAGAAATGGAGGGTTGCTCGTGCGCGAAAAAGACCCCACTAGAAAAGTTGAATTTAAAATCTTTTTGGGGCAAATCAGTAAGGAACATTCCTTCAAAATTCCAGCTTTTCAGCTTTCCTCATGCCCGAGTTAGCAATTTTCCTGCCAAAACCTTCAAGCGCTCCAAAAACTTCAGACGGGCGTAAGCGTTGGTACCGCGGTCCTGAGGCGGCACTTGGCTGGACAACCAACTGGCAAAATTTTGATGTCGGAGCTTGCTTGGTTGCCGAGTTGAAATACCCGGACAGACGAACAACACACACACATATACTCACTGACAGGGTCGTTACATATGCGTTCTTACATATGCTATATGCAACTCAGGCTGGAACGCACCAGGCGGACCCGTGCGATCATGCGTTTTTGCACCGGACTTGAAGCACTCAGGTCATTAATTGCATAAATGGTTGTTGCTTTACACCTACCTTTTGCGATCAGTAGCATAAATCACCATAAATTTTGCATGAAGTAG